TCTTCGCAAAAACATTATGACCTCGTGAAGATATAAAGTAGTTTATCATGTATAACAGACATTATTCATAAAACAAACATTATCATACTAGTTTCAGCGTTATTCTCACATGTGAAATAATTATGAGTGGTTAGAAATCATTCACAGTTACTCAGTACTGAATAATTATCCACTTTCACTATCCTGTCATAGTTATCCAGCTAATGTACATCTATACTGTTAACAACCTGATTACTTTAATACTAAACATTTCTAACTAAACTCTTTTATGTAAGTAACTTAGATTCATTTTGTAATTATGATTTTAAATATCACAGATTGTAAACAGCGGACATTTAGAAAATTAAAGTGAAACTATAATTTATGAACGACCTTTGAACGACGCTAAAATGACCTTGTAAGTATCCACCTAACAACTAGGATCAAATGAAGATTATAAACTATTTTAAGGGAACCGAATTATGATTCACAGTTGATAGTTAAAGTTAGAGATTAGATCTACAGGTTGTCATCACAAACTGACATCAGCTATAATACCAAACTTCTATTTACCCTAATGAATGAGTGAATTTCGAGTCAAAAACCGAGACTTGTTATCTTATATCTGATGGATTGGTTCATTCATAAATTATAGTTTCACTGAAATTAGAACACCTCAGTAATTTCTTTCTAGCTCATAGTTGTGTACAATCTAACTATTCAAAAAAAGTAACCTTAAATAGACCAAAAGAGAAGTAATTTTGTACTGCATTATCTTGATAAGTGTCAATAAATCTGTCATAATTATGACGTCATCAAATCATTCTCTCTTTTTTTTTATCAAATTTAAGGGAATTTTGGTATAACTTCTTGTAAGCTTAATTATAAATTGATTTATTAATTCAATGTTAAAGAGTGGAATCTGAGTTTATCGTCTATTGACAGAAATGATGTAATATAAAAGATAAATAAGAACCCTCATCAGTGTCTATCCATAATCCCGACTCGCGAGATTCAAACACAGGATCTATCAGTCTCGTACACGAGCAGTTAACCTCTAGAACACTGAAGTTGCTGGCATCCAACAATGTTAATATCGAACTTCAACCAATTCACGAAATTCAGCGACACATCCACCATTGTCTTCAATGAGTTAAAATCTCATAACAGATCCAGTTGAACTCCACTGGTCACAGCTTCTCATTAGAACTCCAGGTAATAACTCTTGGTGACAATCACTAGTGAGCATATGATGATTAAAATCAGAGTGAGTTTTAGTGGAAATGGTAGTAATTTAATAATTTTATTCTCCTTCATGAGGAGTAACAGACGTAAGTAAACCACTAAATCACTGTGTATTCTCGTTCACTACAATGTAACTTTCATAGGGCTTGACAAACAGAACACATTAACTTTAATTCATCTATAAAATGAACAAAATTGTAATCATATTCCTTTACAATTTATTCATAGATTTACTTTCATTATATTTATTTAGTGAACTTATTCTAACCTGGCTTGAATCATGCTATTTTAAGGGATCTCTATGGAGAGCAGCACTGTTTCCTAATGAAACAAATTGAATATAAAAGAAGAATAAATCAATACGAATCAATATTGTTACATAATCTGTTGAACATATATGCTACATTTTCAAATTGTTAATCATTATATGATATTATGGTAAAACGTGTTCTATTGTTAACGTGTAATAAGTGACTTCAAGGACTGTTGCCATGTTTTGGTTTGGCCGCTCCTAACTTTCTACTATCCACCTTCAACACTAGTTAGCATTGCTTGTCATGGTAATCGGTGTTTAGGCATAAGTAACACGTAGCCCAAGCATCTCAGTCGATAACGATTCACAACCTGATCAACTGATTAATCATTATTGCCTAATACCCTATGTCTAACCTCAATTTTACTTACCCAGTGATCTCAGCAGATGCGAGCAATATTTCCAAAACATCTGTGATCAAGTACTAGTAGCTTACCATTAATGACCACAGTTCGCAACCATAAAGTAGAATAGAACAAACTGCTGCGCAGTATGGTCGTCCGTCCCTGTAACCTTTTCATTTACTTATATATGCATATGAAATCTAGGTACAGCAAAGCACTGAAAAATAGGATGCTTCATAAAGCATCATTCCCTAATACCCTGCGTCTAACCTTACTATTACTTACCCGGTGATCCCAGTAGACGCAAGCAATATTTCTAAGGCATTTAGATGGAAAAGTTAAATTAGTTTTAGAATCCAATTTTAAATCTTTATTAATAAAACAATTTTCAATTCGCTGAGAACATTGACAATCATGTCTTTCCCATAATCTACGATAAACTGATACCTCAAGTGATAACAGCGGTCAGTGAATATCGACGGCAAGATTAATGTATTCATGATAATAATCACTAGCATGGTTTAACACGTGAAAACAGTGAAAAGTGGTGACTTAGAGCTTAAACATTACAGGAGATGAAAAGACTGTACAACAAATCAACACATATAGGAAATAATCAGGCATCCAGGCATTCACAGTAAGACTGTTCAAGTTATTTTCTTTCATGAGTAGTAAGTACGTACTTCGGAGTGGTCCCATAACACAAAGAAACAACTTCACACAACACTTTCTACTTTTCCACACTATTACAATCAACGTCGATATGATAACAGTAGTAATGGAATTACGTGTAATATGAAACATGCATCTGAAATCACTCACAGTTCATAGGAGTTAGAAGGGGAAACATAAACTTAACAGATAGTTATTGAGATACATTAGCAAAATAATTATCTTATTGAAGTTACTGGCCACATCATCAGGTATTCTGTTTAATTAGTTCACGAGTAACAAGTACAGAATAAATTGACGTGAATGATTATAAAGCAGCTATAAGGTAAATCAATGATAAATATTCATTGTTTCGTGTATATGTCAATTCGAAGTGCTATTCTCATTATTAAGAATAATTAAAACATCAAACAAGTGAAGTTTCATTTCATAGCTCAAACCACAATAGGATGAAAACTATACGGAAATGTTTGTTTTGGAGACAATTCCCTCCCCCCCCCCAATGTGATCACTTTCTACTGATTCTTAATGTCTCATAGTTTTAATAGAGTTCTATTGGAAATTGAAATTCAAAACTGATGAACAATACTGAAGATGTCCGATGAATGCCTGTTTTCATTAAATATTCTCTGTATTCTCAATCTTTGATAACAGACATCTCCTATCTTACAATGTATTTACAACTATTCAATTGATAATTAGTAATACCAATATTTTAAGTTGGTGTATATGCTTTAAGTTGTCAACAGGATTGATAACGTGTATAAGTGAATGAATGAATCATTTAATGTATTCAGACGATATTGTTGTTTGATTCTTTGAGTGAAATACTTCGTGCGATAAATTGACCACACTTAGTGAATAAATGCTTCAAGAATTCCATATATTATTTTTCAAATATACAAGAATTTTAATCAGAGAGGGGTTTTGTAGATATTAAAGTAATTTAGTAGTTGAATTCATGAGTCGATTGAAGCTAGACCACTATGGAAAACCTGGAAACACTGGACGGCCATTTCGTCGGTAGTATGGGACTCTTCAACAGTGCTCATTCACAATTCCGACTCGCGAGATTCCAACCCACGACCTATAAGCCTTGTGCATGAACGCTTAACCTCTAGATCACTGAACTTCCCTACATCCAACGATGTTAATATCTAACTTCAACCAATCTACGAAATTAAGTGACACATTCACCATTGTTTTCAGTGAGTTACTATTTCACAGCACACCCAGTTGAACTCCACTAATCACTGTTTCTCACCGGAACTCCAGGAAATACATCTTGGAGACCGTCGAAATGGTTGTCCAGTGCTTCTAGATTTTCCATGATTATCTAGCTTCAATTAACTCATGATCTCAACTAGTATAATTGGAATGAATCTTAAGAATCAAGTTTTACATAACTAATTAAATGGTAATGAAACAAACATACTTAAGTATGAAATCGAATTCATGCACTTGAGATAATCACTCAATAACACTTTAAGTGTATAGATGTGATAATATAAGTTACATTGTATATTCGTAATGATGTTGTTCTTGTTTGTGTGTGTGTGTTTATGTGTAAACAAGGTTGTAAAATATAAAGTACCTAATTGTTTACTAAACGCACTCATGTTTAGACTTGGTCAGTACTTACTCATTTTGTCAGTAATTTCTATATTGCTCAAATCATGTAAGTTCATTGATACTCATAAGGAAATATATTCTATTCAGCTATTGTAATATTGTGTCCATTGGTAATACTGTCTATAAGTTGTCTAATTGTTATGTCATCAATAATCTTTAATAGAAATAATCATGGTAGATACTTTGAATCAATCTACTATTCATATAATGTCACTGTCTAAAGAAGAGATGTTCAATTCACTAGAACATGAAATTACAACCAATGGGTTGAATATAGAGAGTAGTGTTCTTAACATCCAGTCATAGGATTATTTAATAAGTTACAAGGAACTGTTGCAATACTATTCGATATACACTGTTAACTTAATCCTGCCCAACCCTCCTCCTTTATCCGAGCTTGGGACCGACAGTAGCCCGAGAGGGGCTGCACACGGAGTTAATCTACAACTTTATTAGTTCCTCTATTTTTCAGATTTCCATTTGATTCACTAAAACGTTATGTTCATTAGGTAGATGTGAAATCAGTCAATTAGTGAGGATTGGTCTTTATCCAGCTTTCTTTTGTTATACTGTGTCATGGAAATAATAAAAGGGATCCAAAATCAACTTTCAATGAACCTGATCAGAATGAAAACACAGTATCAATCATTTTAGTTAAATAATGTTAATACACTTGATATTGTCTACTTGAATCTTCCCATTGATGTTTTGCGATTGTAATTGATCTGATTGGCATATGTGCATCCTGTATGGATTGCCTCGATATTGCCTTAAGTCACAATCATTCCAAGCAAAGATGGATAGTGGCTAACAGTGGGATCCAGGACGCGCTTTGTGTTCTATTTGAAGCGGACGGTCCCAGAGAGAACATCAACTCTGATATGCAAGTGCATTCAGCTGACGAGTTCCAAATAGGACGAAACACGCGTCAAACTGGCTAACTTCTGGCTTATCATCATGGCTTATAATGATAATACGTTTAAAGTTGTAGATTCAAGGTATTGTGGTTACGGAGAAAAGACATTATATGAGAAAAATCTATTTAGTTTATTGAAAGCATATCATAACTTGAAAAGTTGTCTAATGAAATCCTTCAGAGAGAAAAACTCTTTAACTTGTAAGTTGTCATTGTCTTTTCCAGCCGCCTCACCATTTGTGGATGTTTTGAAACTAACTACACTGTCTGGGTCATATGAATGTCTATTTATAAATTCACTTGATTTTTTAAAGCAGTTTACATTGACCTCACAAAGTGATCACTTTCTGAACTCATCTCTGAATATTATTCTGAGAGACTACCATGGGGAACCGGAAAGCACTGGGCAGCTGTTTCGTCTTAGTATGGGACTCCTCAGTTGTGTGTGTCCACGATCCTGCCCCTCGGGACTATATTATTTCCCTTCATCAAATTTTTGATCATTCAGAAACTTTCTTCCTACTCATACTATGAGTTAATCATTCTTCTATGTTTCAACATACTATCTTCGTTGTTAATTAACTGTAAATATAATTCCACAGCTTGTTAAATGATATTGTCTAAAAGAAAGTTTGTTTTAATGGATTGCCTTTCATTCTTTTTCAATGACACCATGGGTTAGTTTTGTTATTACTTCTTTGTTCGAAATAATAGGTGATGCGAGGTAAGCTTTCTTTTTCCTTCAGAGAGCACTCTATCTGTTTATTTGAATACACAGTTATATAATATACCCTTGTGAGCAAGGGTAATTTTACGCTTTACATTTTTCAGGAGAACTGGACACCATCTAGACTTTCAAGTGACAACCTAAACAGTACAGCTCAATCCCGTTTAACAGGAGAGCCAGACACCGCCTAGGCTTAACCCGAGTGGTATAGCTTAATCCCGTTTCGCAGGAGGGTCAGACACTACCTAGGCTTAAAATTTGCAGCCCAAATAGTACGATTCAATCCCGTTTCCAGGAGAACCAGGCACCATATAGGTGACAGAGTTGTAATCATGTTGTCAATACCAGTGACGTTTAGGCAGTTATTTTTTTTACTTTGTATAATCTATCCAACTTCATCTACAATTATACTTTTGATGCTTCATACCGAATTTTAGTTTCTTAAGTTCGACATGGAAAAAGTGAGTATTTCCTAAACCTGCTGTTTTGGTCAAAATAATTTTCTGAAATCATTTTTCGTCTTGTAACATAAAGGTGATTTAAGAGTCCTATTGAATACAATGATTACCATTGTTCGTATATCGGATTTCGCTCTTACCTAAGTTAGTTTCAACCTTAAATTGCAAATGGATTGGCATTTTAATTACTTAGTCACGCTGGTTTTTCTGTGATTGTAGTAAATAAGCGTGTTCTTTAGAAAAATACCGTTCAAGAATATTAACTAATATTCACTTGGTGTTGTTTACTTGTATCTTCCCATTGTTATTTAGCACTGAAATTGACCAGTCACATGTTGGCATATGTGCATCCTATGCGGATTACCTCGATATCGCCTAAAGTCACAAGCTTTATAAGCAAAGATTGTTAGTGGCTAACAGTGGAATCCAGTTTGACGCTCATTTCGTCCTATTTGATGCAAGTACATCCAGATGACGAATCTCAAATGGGACGAAACTCTCGTCCTGCATTCCACTACTAGCCACTATCCATCTTTGTTTAGTGTTAACTAATGTTAAATATTTACCCTAGTCAATATTTTATATATTTCATGTTTCAATAAATTTTTTTCTTTGTTGATAACTTGCTGGAAAAGTCTAATGAACGTTGGATAGAAGAAAGAAAGCTGCTGACAAATTTCAGGATAAAGGAAATCAAGAGATAATGCTCAGTTAAAAAAGAACCCCACTGAATACACTTTGTGATACCAAATAGATTTGAGAGTTATGCAAACATATTTGTTTATTATGCTGAACATCTTCTATGCTTAATGAACAATGAGTATGAAAATGTTTAGAAAGTCACTAATTTAAGCCTACAGTTCTTTAATAACTTATTATAAAATCAAGTAATGTCTAATATACAGCAGGACTCGCATGATGGTCAAGATTCAATTGACTCATGAATTCAGTTATTAACTTACTACAATCTCCACTAAAACTCACTCTGATTTTAATCATCATATGCTCTCTGGTGACTGTCACCAAGAGTTATTTCTTGTGGTTCTAGTCAGAAGCTTTGACCAGTGGAGTTCACCTGGGTCTGTTGTGAGATTGTAACTCACTGAAGACAATGGTGGATGTGTCGCTCGATTTCGTTGATTGGTTGAAGTTAGATAATAACACTGTTGGATGCCGGCAACTTCAGTCGTTCAGAGGTTAACTGTTCGTGCGCGTGACTGATAGATCCTGTGTTTGAATCTCGCGAGTCGGAATCGTAGATGAGCACTGCCAAGGAAGAGTTCCGCAATAGAACCAAACGGTCGTCCAGTGTTTCCAGGTTTTCCATGGTGGTGTAGCTTCAATTGACTCATGAATTCAATTATTAATTTACTATAATGTCCACCAAACTCTTCTTTGAATACACAAGTTAATAATTTACAGAATTGTAGAACGAGTATCAAGTGGGTAAGTCATTATTCACAGTTTAATAGAAATCTGTTTTTATCTCACTTTATAACTTACAAATGAAGGTGAGACATTAATTAATGGATGACCTTTGAGAAACGCTAAAGTGACCTTGAGAATGTTCACCTACTAACTAGGACTACATGAACATTTTAAAACTGTGTGAAGGATAAGGATTGTGATTTATAATTGATGGTTAAGAATAAGGATTAAATTCAGTGTCTTCATCACGAACTGACATCAACTATAATACCAAACCTCTATTTACCCAAATGGATGAATAAATTTCGCGTTAAACTCCAAGATCTGTTATCCTAAATCTAATTGGTTCGTCCATTTTCTCAGGAATAGTAACAGTTATGAAGTTTAAGAACTGAATTAATCAATAATTTATCAGACATCCCAACAATATTCACTGAGTTATCAATGAAAAATGCCTTAATGTTAAGCAATTTCAATTCTACAAAAACAGAAGAAAAAAACACTTTATTCACTATGGTTTCTATGTATTGATAGCATATTCGCAGCCTTGTGTTGATAATGTTATATCTAGACCTTAGATTCTTAATATACCGTGTACAACTTGTACACTTGAACGCTAGAACCCTCCAAATCGCAAATGAGAGGAAAGAGGAAAAGTGAAACGATTGCTATTCCAATCAGTGTCAATTATGGAATTGATAGTATTTAGTAAAAACGAAATCATCATTATAGTCCTCCAATCCAGGGGGATTATTAGCATTTGTCCAATAGAGAAGCTCCACGTAAGGATTCTGGAAAATTCTCTCAAAAGATGATTGGATGGAATGTTTTTGGCTTTTTTTGAGCTTCTCATAGTTTCCTCGAGTTCATCCGTTGGCCGTCCTCACAGATAGAACAAACGTTTATATCTAAAAAAACGTTTTCGCATCGACTTACTTGTGATCTTATCAACCATTTTTTCAAGATTATTTAAGTGTTTTATTAATAGTTTGCTTGACACCACTTATACCTTAACAGCATAATGTATATTATGAATGGGTAACATTAAGGAGCTACAAATTTTTATCGTTGTCACTAAGTAGATATTATTCAGTTTATTAACAAATACCGTTATAATGTTCAACATATACATCATCGCTTGGTGTTGTTTTACTTGTAACTTCCCATTGTTATTTAGGACTACAATTGATCAGTCACATGTTAGCATATGTGGATCCTGTGCGGATTGCCTCGATATAGCTTTAAGTCACAAGGCTTTTAAGCAAAGATGGACAATAGCTAGTAGTGGAATCCAGTTTGACGCGCATTTCGTCCTACGTGGGGCTCGTCAGCTGGATGTACCTGCATCTCAGAGTTGATGTCCACTCCAGGACTCGAAGTCAAAAACGCGATGGCGTTTGAATCTAGTATCGGAGTGAACATCCACTCTGTGATGCAGGCACATCCATCTGACAAGTTCCAAATAGGACGAATTGCGTATCCTGGATTCCATCGCTTCCTATTATCCATATGTACACCATCAGTTTACATTTTTCAGAGTGTTCTACTTTGACTTATAGTAAGTTTATTACATGTCTATACATTTATAAAGATGTTTCACTGTATGGATTTTCTGTAATGGTTTATTGAACGGATGTGGTATTATGATTACTTATAATCTGTCATAAATCATTGAAAGTTTAATTTGTTTAAGTTTAATTACCTTAACTTAATTAGATATTTTACTTAACAGTTGAGACACTGAATCATACATTGATTGACTGATGCCACAGTCGAGAATAGACTACGAGTTTTTGATCGCCTAGATCAGCTGCTACCTGGAAAACATCAGTACAATGTTCTGAGTTTTCTTCGTTAAACTTTTGAAATGAAGACAAATGACCATTTCGTGTCTACTGAAAATTTCATTGTAACAACTTGCATTGATGAAGCTTAGGTTAACAAACTTATATCGAAATAGGATCATAAGAGTGATCTGCATGGAATCCTATGCAGGAACCACTAATTATAGTAGGTTGTTGTTGATGATAATATCTGGCCAACGGATCCAAAGTATTTTGCATAGACAATTTCACAGTGAATAATTTGTATCATCATAACATAATTGATTTTACAAAATGACTATGTTATATTTGTTCTTTTTTTTTAGTTTATTGTTATATAACTGGTTAAGAAGTTGCATTCTAGATACGGAAAATCTTCGTGAAGTATTCTATCCAAGTGAATATGATGATGCATAAATTGTAATATAATTTTGATGTAATTGCATAAATCAAGTAAATCAAGTACACTATAACTATGAACAAGTTCTAAATCTCTAAATAGTAGTTTCTATTGTCTTATGATGAAAGGATTACGTAAAGAAACCTTAATTATCATTATTGACATTACTGTATGGTATCAATGAGGTCAAAGAATTGATATTTGACAACACTGTATTCAGAAAGGGGTTTTTGTGAATAATATAGTAATTTTAATAGTTGAAATCATGAGTTAATTAAAGGTAGACCATCATGGAAAACCTGTAAGCACTGGACGGCTGTTTTATCCCAATGTGAGAATCTTTAGCAGTGCGCATGTATGATATCGCTCAAGGGATTCAGTGCTTACAGATTTATTCGTTTCAATGAAAAATTCTAGAGTTTAAGCGGTTTCACATGAGATCGAAGGTTCTGAGAGCGAATCCTGCGCATGGGACTATGGATGTACGCTATTGAGAAGTCTCACATTAGAATGAAATGGTCATTCAATAGTTCTAAGTTTTCAATGATGATGTAACCATCAATCGATTCATAACTTCAATTAAAATGATTAACATTTTCTTATCAAATAGAATTCTTATACATTTAGAGAGGGATTTTGTGGAGATTTTAGTAATTTAATTATTGAATTCATGAGTCAATCGAATCTAGTCCACTATGGAAAGCCTGGAAGCACTGGAGGACCGTTTCATCCTATTGTGGGACTCTTCAGCATTGCGCATCCACGATTCCAACTCACGAGATTGCAACCCACGACCTATCGGTGTTGAGCGCGAACTCTTAACCTCTAGAACACTGAACTTGCCGACATCCAACGATGATAATGTCTAACTTCAACTAGTAGACAGAATCAAGCCACACGTCCACCAGAGTCTTCAGTGAGTTACTGTTTCACAACAGACCTGGTTGAACTTCACTAGTCACTGTTTTTTACTAGAACTCTATAAGACACCTATTGAGACCGACAGGTGTTGGGTTCGAATCCCACAGGGCGGTATCGTAGATGCACACTGACGAGGAGTCTCCTATTGGATTAAAACGGCCGTCCAGTACTTCCAGGTTTTCCATGATGGTCTAGCTTCAATTGACTCATGATCTCAACTATTAAAACACTGTATTCATTAAGTACTTACCTAATCATGCGTAATATACTTTGATATAGGACACTAGTGTGCCTGGCGAAAACTACCGGAACATTTACATATTCGTCCATACATTGATAATCTGATAGTTTAATGCTTTAAATATGTAGAAAGATTTTTATTGAAGTAAAAAGAATTTATACATCATACTATTCTGCAAAATGTCACTAAAAATCATACTGTGGTGTGCTACTGATATCGAAAGATACAGGTAGTATGTATTATCAATGGAAATTGAAATGCTTAGAGGTAGACGGTTGAGAAAATCCAGGAAAAGAGAACGAAAACAAAGGATGATTAGTGTGGAAACGAAAGAACAATGAGGTCTGAGACGACTGACTAATATTTTGCATACGGAGTATTCACTGTATGATACTCGGATTTTACTAAGAGATTCTGTAATTTTGTATTCAAATACATTTGATCGTCCCCTACTTGCGTTCTTCTTAATGGGGATTCTAAATATATTCATATCATCAGTATTATCGCTATTGACTTTTGAAAGTTACGTAATTTCAAGGAGTACCGGAGTAATCTGTAATTTACTGTCGAAAATAAATTTTCATAGACCAATACATTAAATGTACTATAAGACGGTCAGTGTATAGGTAATCAACTTGGACGGTGACAATACTTAAATTTCCATAAGTTCTGCCCATTGCAATACAAGCGAGGCTTGATTAAGTGTCTCTTTAAGAGTACTTACAGAATTTCCACTGCTGAAACGGTTGAAAAAGATGAAAAGTTACTGACTGACACTTTAATAGCAAATAGTTATCCACTAAAGTTTATTAACAGGTGCAAAAGTCAGTTAATGCCAAGACCTCTTGTTTATTCAGTTCCATATAGAGGTGAATCCAACAGTATAGTTTTAAGACAGAGATTGAAAGCAGCCATCGAGAATACCTATTATGCTGCTCAATTGGTTGTGATTGAAAAGTCTAAGCCCATGATTCCTAATAGACCCTGAGAATGCACTAATGATTAGGTCACATCCCATTGTATTTACCAATTTACACGTTTGTGTGGATACACATACATAGGGGGGGGGGTAATCGAACCAAAGGTCATTGAACATGTGCCTAGATGGCTTCAAAACTAATTAGTGTCAAATGATCCAATCAACATAGGTGGTAGAAAACCATGTTCACCGACAGCGAAACATATAACTGAAACGGGGCACAAAATTGACATTAATACAGCTTTTAGAACGTTGTATAGAAATTGTCAAGGACGAATTCTTAAGTTGATTGAAGCCTTGGCTATTCGTAAATTTAGACCCCAGTTATTTGTATAAAAACAATTTGTCATAATCCTGGTAATCCTTAAGTCATTCGATGACCTAGGATAACGCGACAATTTCTTATTCTTTCTATACAATGTAGAATGTTTCTCTTACCTTTTTTTACTTTGACTTTTATTAATCTGCATATAAAATAGCCTGACAAGTATATGTGTGTGATCAGATTGTTCGAAATGTATAGCACAAATACATCACATTTTCATCAGATCAACCATGTCTTCTCATTGTTCTATCGCGACATTAAATGTGACAATACTTGTGATTTAAGGTAATATCAAGGCAATTCGTACGTAATACACATATGCCAATCAGAGACTGACCAATAACAGTCTCAAAATATCAATGGGGAGATTCAAACAAACTGTATTTGATAAGAAAGTGATGAAGTGATGTAGAAAACTCCTCGAAAAGAAGCCAAAAATAACTTTGAAAACATTGCAATGCACCTTATCCAATCAGTATACACTAGAAGTTGTGCCAGAAACATCTAGAAAGTAAAAAGTCACATGTCAAGTTTCTCATTGGTTGATTACTTATATTGCTATTATGTTTAGTAGCGTCCCGGGATTTTCCATCGGGAGTCAGTAACTAAGTGGATAACGCAATGGATTTTGAAACGTACAATACTTGGTTCGAGTCCTGGAATGACCACCAACTCTGAGATGCAGGCACATCCAGCTGACGAGTCTCAAACAGGACGAAACGCGCATGATTGGCTGCGTAGAATGCCCTGGTGATTACTTTCGTTAACCTATATTTCAGAGTATCACTGACCACATCCTCGTTAAATTGTAGTTTTATGTATAAAGGTTTCTTACGAACAGTCGAAATCTCCGACTTCATTTATTATGTCATACATGTACTTCTTAATGAAAGCACTGGGATAGCCGATCTCAGTCAGTGAGTTATTGATAACTTTCAGCTCCTGACTTAAAGTATCTACTGTACAGATCTTTTTAGCTCTGCTAGTGAGACATCTAACCAAATTTCTCTTGTAGCGGATAGGTGTGAAACTATAGAAGTGAGTATATTGGCAGGCAAAGGGGCTTTTTCTATGCACGCTTCTACTTAGTGTGCCATCACTTCGTCTGCTTAGTGTGACGTCAAAGAGGTTCAGTTTTTTATCATAATCGCTTTCATCAGTGAAACTGATCACCGGGTCAACACTGTTGAATTGTTCTAAGAGTTTTTCCTTACTGGCGTTTTGATCTACGATAATGAAAGTGTCGTCAATGTAGCGGCAATAGAAATCAAGCTTCTTAATAATCTCATTAAGAAGTCCATTTTCTAACTTTTCTGGGAAGAGATCAGCTAAAATCGGGCCTAGAGGTGAGCTTATGGCTATCTCGTCTAATTGTTTATAATAAGTATTGTTGAAGACAAAATGGACACTCAGGGTGCATCTTAAGAGCATTTCCTTCAGACTATCCTTCAAGCAAACCAATGTTGATTTGTTTTTCTGATATTTGCTTGCATATAAGCTCAATAGTCTCGATAAGTGGTATGTCAGTAAACGAAGATACTACATCCACTGAGATCATCTTTTTCATACTAACATTCATATTTTCCACTTTGGAGGTGAAGTCGAAGACTATTTCTAATAGATGATTTGTGCAAAGGCTCTAAGATCCGCACTAGCCACTTTGCAATTTTATGATAAGGAGAATTGTACATATCTAGAACTGGGCGTAGAAAAAGACCTGGTTTATGAACTTTAGGCAGACCGTACAGTCGCGGTGTAAATGATCCAGTCGGCTTAATTGAATCATGAATCTCAGTCGTAATTGTTCCCTTTTTCTTTAAATCCTTAAGAAAATTAGCCAATTTTTTTCTACTTTATTATTAATGTCATAATTACTAGTAAGTTTCTAAAATTTGCTAGGATCACTAAGAATTGCTACCATTTTTTCGATATAATCCTTTTTGTTCATCTGAACTATACCTCCTCCTTTATCTGGTTTGCTTATGATAAGCGTTTTATCTTTTCTTAGTTTCGTTAAAGAGTTTCAGTGCTGCTTGGTTCGTAGGTGATTTGTAGTACCCTTACTATTCGTGTATTGTTGGTAGCTATCAACTAACGTGGTCTTAAACCGAACAAGATCCTCCAATGAGATAGGAATCAAGTCAGTTGTTTATGAAAACAAATTCTCTAATTGTACATCAGTATCTAATTGGTTGATTCTATGCCTAGTATCAAAGAATATAGGCCCCAGAGATAAAGCTTCTAGCTGTAGTTCAATATTTGAAAAATTATGTACGTACCGTTTCGGGTCGAAAGGAATTTATTTTCACAACAATCCAATATTTGGAAGCACTGGATCCTGCTATCAATATTACGGATGCTCACTACTGATGAGTCCCATATTAGGACAAAATACCTGTCCAGTGATTCCAGGGTTTCCATAGTGGTCTAGCTTTAATCGACTCATCAAATCCAACTATTATACTAAATTGAATTTGTTAATATTGACAATTCAACAGGTCTGGTAAGATACTGAACTTTGTCATTTGAATTGATTTGTCATATAATTCGGTAGAAAAAACTACCAATTATAAACGGTTGAACATTATCATTGATCATTATTGTTTGATAGTTTGCTTTTATTCATTGACTCTTCCATATTACTAACATCTTTAACCCCGTTCTTTAAACTTGTCTTCAACAGATAAATATTAATCAGTCTAAACTGTTATGTGAAATATGTTCCCATTTGTTTCTAACTAAACTGCATTGATTATTACCAGGAGGGCTTTTGTGGAAATTGTAGTAATTTCAACAGTTGAGATCATGAGTCAATTGAAGCTAGACCACCATAGAAAAACTGGAAGCACATTTTCGTGGATTAGTTAAAGTTAGACATTAACACCGTTGGGTGACGGCTCAGCGGTCTAGTTGGTTAAGTGCCTGGCGCTAGATTGATAGGTCCTGGGTTCGAATCCCGCGAAGCGGGGTCGTGGATGCGCTCCGCTGATGAATCCCACGATAGGAAGAAGCAGTTGTCCAGTGCTTCCATGATTTCAATGGTGGTCTAGCTTCAATTGACTCATGATCTCAACTGTTCATTGATTATGTTATGCAATAACATATTTTGGTTGCAAGTTTGAGCCGTTTGTAGCTGACGAGAATCCTTGAAATATTAAGAATTCGATTTATTTTGCAAATATTGATCTACTTGCTTTATTTACATTTCACATGACCACTTTTTACAGCTTGTGACTTTGTACCATTATCAATATATATAACGTAATGATACGGCCAATTAGAAAATAGTGAATTAGCGACTGGACGAATAACGCATTAACCCGTAAGAGCAGTCTAGAGTCCATATCGGTCCCTTTTCCTGACTAGCCCTGCATGCCTGTTTAGTCTAGAACACGAATCTTAGCCTCCGTGATGTGAATCATGTATTTCGAATATACTGAATTTATATACAAACCAAACAGATCACATCATGTCATAAAATAGAAAATAACATTTATACAAGTTTTATCCCAAAGTAGCTGTGAATGTGGGAGACTGTAATTATTAGACTGGTCATAATTCAGGAACGGTAAATCTTAATAATAGTTCATAGGTCAAACTAAAGCTTATAACAAGATAAACACGAATAGGCATACTTTAGTCCCTTAGCAATTATACAGTAAAAATCTATGTATATTATTAGTCCAGAAACAGTTACCAACAGTTACCATTCATTATTCTCATCGGGATATAACACCACTGAATTCATTGTCTTCTTTATCACTTGAGGTGATTATCTATGTTATTATTCGTCTTGATAACTGTTGTATTATCCAAGATTTTCATGTTTAAATATTGAGTAGTGGTAGATGAATACTCTTCGTCCACAATATGCTTCTTCACATTTTCCATTTGACTAGTATTTTTCATGATATTATTATTACTACTGTTATAATTATAAGTAGCTGCTTTAGAATAAGGAAAATATCTACGTTCATTATGAAATTGAAGGTGCTGACTACAATGATGATGATTATGTTTACTGTTATATAGACTACTTTGTGTAGAATAATGTTTGTCACAGTGTTTGAATGTAGGTTGTGTAGTGCTGTGCATATTTAAACAAGGACATAGATTGATGAATATTTCAGATAGTCCACGTCGAAATGTTCGACTCATCCATAAATAAACTATTGGATTATAACATGTAGCTGACCATGCACTTAATTGACATAATAACCAACCATAGATAATTGTATCTTTTTCAAATGCATCAGGTTTATTGATTGTAATCAGATAAATTATATGTCTTGGTAACTGGGAAACGGCATATAGAGAAGCTACGATAATTACCATTATGATAAGCTGTCAAACAAACAAACAAAAAATGCTAAAAAATTATTGACTTTTCATTTACATATAACAGTAACTCAAAAGTATAAATGATTCGTTAAATTCTAATAAAAAAGCGATTATAACTATGGTTCTGAACTACTGACTAGTATTATATTATGTACTATGTGTGGTGTTCCAGTCAGATTGATTTGCAAGCCTTCCCTGGGGAGGCCCATGTAGGTTCTTTTATAATGAATCCAGTGTTTTCAAGGCTCACAAACTGTTGGGAAAGGGGATGGAGTAATGCATATACGCTCTCCGCCCTACCATCCCCAATCGAATAGACAGATAGAGTGTTTTGTCGATACTTTTAAAAGAGCATTACTGAAAAGAGGATATAGGGGGATAACTAGACATGAAATCACAAAAGTTTTAACAGCTTACAGAACTACCCCGAACCCTATTGTCCCAAGTGGGAATTCCCCCTTCTGGAATCATCTTTGAAAGACGTATTCAGAGTATTTTCAACACTGTGATGCCACATAAAATAATGGATGGGCATAGACGAAGTTCGGATATCCGAAATTTTAATGTGGCCTATAAAGTGTTCGAGAAGTCATATCTCAAACAGAATCTATGGGAACCAGGAACAATTGTACAAGGATTGTGAAGAGTCTTATATAAGGTCCGAACAGCTATTGGGACATGTATCAGACACACAAAATAAATCCACAACGATAAAAGAATGATGCACACCGTAGAATCTCCCATTAGAGTTAATCACAGATACATGAACGACACATACATCCAAGAATGCCTGAAAGAACAAAAAATTGAAGACTTGGACAAGAAAGTCAACAAAAAATGAAACACCACCGCAAACCAATTGTCAGATTGCAAGTAGCACCAAGAAGAAAATCTTATTTCGAGGAGGTGTTGGGACGGCTTTCAAGTAGTACGATGGAGCCTCCAGAGACCCTAAAATAGCAGAAGAGTTCCCAGTCAATTAGGACTTGATGGGGTTTTCTAGAATATCAACGTCGCATGCTACGATTGAACTTGCCTCCTTGCGGATTATTGGAATCATAATGATGTTACAGCTAACATTAATATCTGTACATTTTTTATTCTTACCCAACTATCACTTCTTCTGCCTTCTGTCTTCTGATTTGCGACTGTAGGGTTTTATACGTTCAAGTGCAGTTAGTTGTATATCGTAGTCTACGTTAATCAAGTAGAGGGCGTAACACAAACCCACTGCGTGAATGTAATTTCACGGGGAACAGTGGCCTCGCTGGTCTTTGCGCGTACCTCGGTATTGTAAAAAGAGCAAGTAAATGATTTTTAAAAGTTTTTACTAACCCTGGATAAGTATAGTCTGTATACATACTAGGCAACACATAGAATTTAATCCGAGTATTCCTCGGCAGACATAAAGGTATACCTACCTGTGACATGCAATGATGTTAATGCCTAACTGCGATACGCACTGCTGAGTAGTCTCATACTAGAACGAAACTGTCGTCTAGTGCTTCCAGGTTTTTCATGCTGATCTAGGTTAAATTGATTCATGAATTCAGCTGTTAAATTATCGAAATCTCCACAAAACCCCCTTCTAATAGTTTAAATGTGATATCTTTTTAAAAACCGCGTATTATCTTCAACCACAAAAATGTATCAAATTACAAATGACATGCCAACTGTTGAATAACATACAATTAAAACAAATCAAAGCTGCATACTGTATGTAAAACGTAATCCATAAACGAACCTATCAATGAAAATATTAAAAGCCCACCCACCATATTAACTTAATTTGACCTTGTATTTGACTATGCTTTGTTTATTCATCAGTCACATTAGTTCATATTTGTCACAAACAATGTTAAGTTTTACCTGCATCTCATAGTTGATGTTCACTCTGGGACTCAAACCCAGTACCATTCGCTTCAAACGCCATCGCGTTATCCACTCAGCTACTGAGTTCTGATAGCCACTTACTTGTGCAATGGGGTGAATTTAAGTTCACTTGGTATTGTTTGGCTTGTATCTTCCCATTGAGGTTTAAGACTGCAATTGATCAGTCTGTTATTGGCATATGTGCATACTGTGCGTATGCCTAGATATTGCCTGAATTCACAAGCTTTTTGTAAGCAATGATGGATATTGTTAATTCATTTTTTCTATGCCCTAGTTACTGCTGTTTGATATGTTATTTATGTCACTTTTTCCTTGTTTAATAAACTGTATTAATTGTTCATTTTGTATACTAACAGTGTTAAGAGGGATAGTAACTAGTAATGGAATTCAGGACGTGCCTTTCACCCTATTTTGGGACTCGTCAGCTGAATATACCTGAATCTGAGTTGATGTTCACTGTGGGACTCGAACTCAGTAACGTTCGCTTCAAACGCCATCGCGTTATCCATTTAGCTACTGAGTCCTGATAGCCACTTGCTTGTGCAATAGGGGACTGATCAATTTCAGTCCTAAACATCAATGGAAAGATTCAAACAAACAATACCAAGTGTTAATTTGTGTTTTAGAAAAATAGATAATGTTTATCAAGTCAAATAAATTACTTGTTCTGACTTCCGATAATCTAAAACTCTGTGCTCAACAATCTAAGAAGTAGTGTAGAATTACATCTGTAAGAAATTACTTCCTACATTGTATACTATACAATGCATTAGTGATTGATAAAATATTCGGTGAGACTATAATTTATGGACGTACCTTTGAGCAACGCTAGACTGACCTTAAAAGTTTCCACCTGATAACTAGGACCAAATGTGTATAAACATTATTCCTTAGATATATGTGTATTAAGCTCGGACGTTTTCAATAAAAACAAACGTCCGCCTTTGATTCTACTGTTGAAGATAGTTTAAATTCTTATAAGCTTTATACTAAAGACCAATAACGAGTCTGTCATCAGTAACAATCGTAGATATACCGCTTAATTTCGCGGACTAGTTAAAGTTAAACATTAACAACAGTGGATGCCGGCTCAGTGGTCTAGTGGTTAAGCGCTCGCGCGCGAGACTGATGGGTCATGTGTTCGAGTCTCGCGGTACGGGATCGTAGATGAGCACCGCTGAGGAGTTTTATAACAGGACGAAATGGCTGTCCAGTGCTTACAGGTTTTTCATGGTGGTCTAGTTTTAATTGACTCATGATTCCAACTATTTGAAATGAAACAATTAGTACATCAATTTATCATAGTTTAAACGACGAATTAATCTTTGCTAGATCAACATTAGAAACCAGGACACATTGGACATCTGTTTTGTCCTACAATGGAACTTTTCAGCACTGCGCATCCACGACTCACCATATGGAAAATAAAGTAAGATCTACAGTCTCACACTCAATTGATCTCAGTATGGTTTTAAATGAACTATACTGAGTATCAATATTTTATTAAGGTATATTTCAAAATAATGAGCTGTCTACTGAATGATTTTGGCAACAGAGTCGGCCATCATTTTGTTTTTAGTTAATAAAGCAAGTAATTGACAGGATATATTCAGGTCTCATATAATGCACAATTTTTTTGTTGAATCACTTAAAAATGATTATAAAGTGTTATAACAAGCATACTTCCTATACACTGGATGCGAATCACTTATTCTGTAGGGTTAATTCCTAGTGCCAGGATAAACGAATCATTTTTAGCAATTTATCAGGCTAGTAATTTTGTCTGATTAAAAGTTCTCCAAATGGCGAATTCAGTATTTCATGGGACTAAAAAAGCGAAGCTACTTGCCTAGAATAAGTATATTTAACTGTACATACTTTGGTCAGGTATCTATTTTAAACGGAGAGACCAAAAGAGCAAGTAAAAAATGATGCGGTTAAAAATGTCTCACATTCTAAAGGACTACCATCAAATGGCAATCATTTAAATGGTGGATACTGATAAAGGTGAGAATCGAAGAGGGGAATATGCTCGATTTACCCTCTGTTGTGAAAAACCTTCCTTCAACGAATAACATGGTAGATAGGTAGCATAGAAGCTTTAGCCAACTTATTGATATCGCCCATCCAAGTGTATCGAGATATACTAAATGCGCTGGAAAACGAATAAACTAAACGGACTTAAAATCAGACAGTCTGTTGCAAGCATCCAGCAATAACTTTTAAAAAGAACGTATAAGTAGGTAGCGTTACGTATCAAAATGGTCATAGAAGACTATGAAAACAGATTGATGTAAGACTATCTGCGAGGAATAGAAAAGAATTTTAATTTACAAATCTGAATATTTTAAACGGTATTACGGAACTTTTATGATGTATGTACCATTTAAATCAATATTAAATTGATATCAACCTATTTTGGTACTCTCTTTCCATGTGTTATATACAGTCAGTTAATATATTACCGGGATTATTTGATTGTAGTATTAAATCGCCCTTTTAGTCTGAAGATTTAACATAGTGTCGGTGTGTCAGGTTCCGAACTTTAAATGTCTATGTTGCTAACTAACTTACTTACTCCTTTTACCCCTCTTAGTTTATCCAAGAATATAAAGAGTAATACACAACTTGAATGATTGAAATAAGATGACGCAATGACCGAGGAGTAAGAAACATAATAAAATTAATATGAGAAGAGGGTTTGTGGATATTATAGTTATTTCAACAGTTAAGATCATAAGTGAACTGAAGCTAGACTACTATGAAAAACCTGCAAGTACTGGATGACCGTTTCGTTCTATTTCAGGACTCCTCAGCAACGCCCATTCACGATCGTGCCACCTCACGGAATTCGAACACAGGACCTATTAGTCTGGCGCGTGAACGCCTAACCACTAGACCACTGAACTTGCCGGCATACAACAGTGTTCATGTTTATTATTATTATTTTTTATTATTATTATTAATGGCTTTATTCAATATTATATTTCGGGTACAATATAGCACAGGGTATTTCAACAAGTTTCTTACACAAAAAACAGAAACAACGACAAAAAAGGAAAAAAAGGTTTTAAAAAATCTGAAGAACCGTACAACTTTTCAAATTAGAGACATGTTAAGAATACAGGTTATCGACTAGGTTAACTCTAACAACCTGTCCATCACAGAGTATATTTGCTAGGTAAGGTATTATAGAGCTTTTATACTTTTGCTTTCATACATGGATTTTAATGTAATTACGTCTCGTTCTATCAGAAGATATACAAGGAGAAAGATAAGAGGGAAGGGGATGGTGAAATAACACTTGCCAGGAGTTTGCATGACTTTAGATGTCTATCCACAAACGTATTAATTATGACCTCGAAAGATTCACCATACACCTTGCTAACTGCCTTCAGCACTCTCCGCAATACAGCAGTTTTTTTCTCAAAAGTCCGGGAAAGAATAATGGAGAACAGTAAAGAATAATAGGTAATATGCAAGAAATGACAAATTGTAAGAGTAAATGACGAGTAATCCCAAGAGCATGCAATCTCTTTATGTAGTAAGTCAGACGGGAAACCTTTTTCGATAACAATAAAACGTGAGAAGACCATGAGAGATCAGAGGAAAAGGTAACACCAAGATAACCGACCTTCGACACTTCAATCAATCCACGAAATGGAGCGACACATCCATCATTTTCATTAGTGAGTTACTATCTCACAACAGACGTGGTTGAACTCTATTTATCACTGCTTCTCAGTACAACTTCAGGAAATACTACTCAAATCCAGTTAGTATTAAGTATATATTATCGTGAATACGCACTGCTGAATAGTCCCACAATAGAACGAAACAGTTGTCCAGTGCTACCAAATTTTCCATGATGATCTAACCTTGATTAATTCATGATCTCAACTACTAATAAGATCACTTGGTATTGTTTGGCTTGTATCTTCCCTTTGAGGTTTAAGACTGCAATTGATCAGTCTGTTATTGGCATATGTGCATACTGTGCGTATGCCTTGATATTACCTTAATTCACAAGCTATTTGTAAGCAATGATGGATAGTGGCTAGGAATGAAATCCAGGACGCGTGTTTCGTCCTATTTGGGCCTCGTCAGCTGGATGCACCTGCATCTCAGTGATCTACAAAACTCTCTTTTTCACTAAAAGATTTTCTCTTTTTATACACTCACCTTTTTACTTATTCGACTTCGTTCCGTTTGATAAATATTGCATTCACTTGGTATAGTTGATATCCATAACTGATATACAATAGCTGAATATGTAATAATAATTACTAATAATGGTAAAATATATTGTAATAATATAATTAACCAATTATAAATTAATTCTAATGAAATATCATTAGAATCATTCAATGGATTATGATTGAATAACAATATATCATTAGAATTCGATTGATTCCAATCATATTTTGACCATATCTCTTGACAATAAGTTAAACCATCTTCAGTAATAATAAGTTGACATACAATAAAACTAGGTATTGAGATAATCATAGCAAAACACCATATAAATAATAATATTAATTTTGCATTCGTAATAGATAGTTTATGTTTACGCCATATAGGATAACGTATAGCAGTGAATCTATCAATAGAGATTATAATATGAGTAAAAGCGCATAGAAATACTACAACACTTTGTAAATAATTAATGAGACGACATAGAAACTGACCAAATGGCCAATAAATCAATAAAAAGTCTGCAATTAATGTCAATGGTGCACATATAATTATATGTAATAAATCTGATATACTAAGATTCATTAAAAATATATAAGTAACTGAATGTTTTATCAATTTCATATCCATTATTGATGATGTTAATGTATTACATTTATTACAATTTTGTATTATTGATTGAGTCTTTCTATGAGATTGTTGCGATGGTGAATATTTTCTATTTAATACACATAATACAAGACTATTACCTAATGTAGAAATGAATACTAATACACTAACAATAATAGCGATAATGATTCGACCAATTAATGGAATTTCTGGCGGTTTCATTTAATAATCAAGGAGAAGAAGAAGAAGAAGGAGAAAAATATGAGAGAGAAAATAAAGGATGACCTGGTCAATCATGTTATTGAAATAAATAAATAATTAAAAGTTCCATGTTATATCCATTAAATTATAATAATTAACCAATCAGAGAACAGAAAATAACTGATGACTTTTAACCAATCAAAATTTTATTGTCTTTTTTTCTCAACACAAGATTAATCTCATTGGTTAAGATCATGAGTCAATTGAAGCTAGACCATCATGAAAAACCTGGAAGCACTGGACGGCCGTTTCGTCCCATTGTGGGACTCCTCAGCAGTGCGCACCCATAATTTCGCTACCTGCAAGATTCAAAACCAAGACCTACTGGTTTCGCGCGCGAGCACTTAACCACTAGACCACTGAACCGGTATCCAACGGTGTTCATGTCTGACTTCAATCAATTCATGAAATTGAGCATCACATTCACCATTGTCAATAGTGAGTTACTATCTCACACCAAAAATAATCAACTGTTTATGTAATTTATGCTCTTCAATAAGTATATAGAACTATTTTACAAATATAAGAAATTTTTGATAAAAGTCCCTGTAAATCATGTGCACACTAGTGAATAGTTTCGTGAAAGAATTATTGGAGTTCTGATAAGAAATCGTAATCAGTGGAGTTAATCCGTGTCGAATAGAGATAAGTAACTACTTCAGTACAATGGAAGATGGTCGCGAAACTTCGTGGATTCGTTGAGGTTAGACATGAACATCATTCTATGCAGGTCGGTTCAGGGGCCTAGAGGTTAAACATTCGCGTGTGATAATGTAGGCCCTGGATTCGGATCTCGCAAGACAGCAGGATCGAGGATGCTCACTGCTGAAGAGTCCCATACTAGGACGGACTGGCTGTTTAGTGTTTTCAGGTTTTCAATGGTGGTCTAACATTAATCAGTTCATGATCTCAATCTAAAACATATTTCAGTAATAGGGTTTGGATAAATAAATGAATTATTAAATAACTGCTAACTGTTAGTTATAAAGTTAAATTCAAATCGAACTCTAGAGTTATTTCAAGATCAGAAGGTCATGAAGATTACATTTAGTGTTATATATTGGTAATCTTTTTTCCTTTTAACTAGAAAAGTCTTGATCTTGTCAAAGTTCTTTGATAACTAGTGAAAACCTGTCGAGAATACTTTTTTTGGTGTCGCTGCCAACCGTGAAGGAGGATTGAGGGGCTCTTCTGTGGACGCCGTTGCGGACCCGGAAATGAGCTGCTAGTTGCAGTGGTCTGAAGAGAGGAGGTGACATCGAAGTGAGTGTTCTGGCAGAGCGGTGTTGGCTTTAGCTGGTGTTGTCGGCGGATAGAAGCAGTGGGGAGTGGGGTTTCTAGAAGGACATCGGAGGTAGATGGCTCCTCGGGTCGCTGAAACGCAGAAAACGAATGTCCCGGTTGCCGGGTAGACGTCGGATTTTGATGGCCCAACAGGTCGATGGAGATATGAATGTCAACGCGTCGCAAACTCGACAATTTGACGGAGGGCGTGATGCAGACTGTAGAAAGAAAGAAAGTGGCACGGCAACTAAAACCACCGGAAGGACAACTGCTTTAAAGGGGGAACGTGTGTGGTATATGCTACTAATGTCAGCAGATATAAGTATAATATATCGTTAAACGAAAGCGAAATGCCTAGAGGCAGACTGTTAAGAAGAGCAAAGAAAACAGAATGAGAACAAAGAATGACTGGTTTAGAAACGAAAGAATAATGAAGCCTGAGACGATTGATTGACATTTTGCAAATGAAGCACTTACTGTATAATTCCCAGATTTTACTAAGACGGTCCATAATTTTGTATTCAATTACATTCGATTGTCCACACTTGTGTTCTTATTCACTACAATACAGCAAATGTTAAATTTGTAAATGATGTCCACTCAATGAAAAAAATATCCACCCATTAAAACATCATAAACTGTAAACTTGAAAATTTAACATTGGTGACAATACTAATGAATGTTTACACTTTAACGAGGTCCATCCGTAAATCACTCGAGTTTGACAGTCCATCTAACCGAATCTCTAATGATGAAACACATTTTGTGATCTATAACTGAATCAGTGTAAATCTTCTTACAAATGTTTGTTTTATATTTATGACAGAAATTTCTTCTTATCAAGTCAATCCATAACACATTCTTTCCAGTGGTTTACAGTTGCTATTCATTTTTCTGATATCAGATTCCATTACTCAACTCATTGTGTTATTTGCTATCCTTCTTTTCTGTCTTTCTTCAGTACTACAAGTCAGCGTTTGCTTCGTGATACAGTTTGATGATTTCCTCAATGTATGTCTTATCCACTTTCATGATCCTTTCCTAATTTCCTCATCAGTTGGAATCTAGTTTTATTCTCTCCCATAGTAGGCTGTTACTTTGTTTATTTTCATACATAACATAATTCTTAACTAAAAACTGTGAGTAAATTGAAAGTACATCAACAGTCTACATTTGTTTTATCGTCTATCTGCTAAAACCGAATCCTTCAACTTACCTTATTCCTTCAGTATTAACAACGTTTATACGAAGTTGATAAGGATACAAAATATATTATGGATCATCATTATATTGAGAGTTAGACAAGATCACTAAATGTGTAGCTGTTACAATATCACTCAACCATAGATAAATAATTATCAGCTTCTATCTAGAAATTGTAATGACACCTCTAAAAATAGTTGGTACATACAATAAAGGAAGAAATTTATTGTGTTCCACTGTGTGAATTATTATTTGGAAATTAACTATCAACTGCATGATTTTATTATTGAACCTTTAATCTCGCCAGGCGAGATTGTGGATGTGCACTGTCAAGGCGGAGTCCCATAATAGAACGAAACGGCCGTCCAGTGCTTCCAAGTATTCCATGGTGGTCTAACTTCAAGTGACTCATGATCTCAACTATCATATCTACAAAACCCCTTCACATATATTTAGGTTCATTCATCTCATTAGTAGTCTGATCAAATAATGAGATCCAGTAGAAGATACTAACATATTTATCCTATAGACCCATACAAAGAAATTTTCAACTAAGTAACCTTCTCAAACTAAATCTACTGTTTAAAAGAAGTCACTGTTTTCAAAACGTCAGTTTAAGGGAGATATTACTAGGAATACACTCAAAAGCTGTCTGGAAAGATATTAGAATGGCATTTAACTCAAGAAATCTCCGAATAATTTACTGTAGTAAACCTTGTATTTGCTACTTAGTGGAAGATGAATTGTCATGACTAAACAATTCATTATGCGTTTACTAGTTCACGTTCTAATTACGAGCTAGTTATGTACATCGGTTGTCATCGCCACTTTTCGCCGTATTCAATAAAGTGTAATAGCACGGTTTAGCGAAGATTAAATTAGAAGATTACTTCATCTATTCTATAGCATGTAGTGGACACTTAACATTCAAACTCTGACTCATCTACCCTAATGATTATACATATTTCTCAAGTTTCGTAAATTTTTCTCCTTTAAAAAATGACACTATGGTGTAACTGAGAAAATCGTCAAAACCATCCGGAATTCATACAACGGACTACACTACAAAGTCGTGCATGGAAGATAGCTGACAGACACATTCCAAGTGAGGACCGAGGTCAGACAAAGCTGATTACTCTCCTCCTTCCTCTCTCATCTGGTAGTTGACTAGATTATAAAGACCTTCACATCTGAGGGGAAGCATGGAATAAAATGGACATGGTGGATACAACTAGACTATTTGGACTTCGCAAATGACCTGGATCTTCTATGCCATACACACCAACAAATGAGTGTGAAGACAATCATTGTTGCAGAAGCCTCTACATCAGTAGGGCTCGACACATACAAAGGGAAAAGCAGGATCCTTGACTTTAAATCGGAAAGCAGCAACCCAGTCACACTTGGTGGAGAAACTCTGGAGGAGGCAGAAACGCTCATGTACTTGGACAGTATCATCGATAAACAAGAATGATCTGATGCAGATTTAAAGGTAAAGATTGGCACAGCATGTGTCGCATTCCTACAGTTCAAGAACATTTGGAACTCCAGACAACTGTCAGGCAACATCAAAGTCAGAATCTTCAACATGAATGTCGAGACAGTTCTGCTGTACGGAACTGAAACTTGCGGAAATATTACAACCATCACCAAGAAGGTACAAGTGTTTATAAAATTTATCTACGCAAGATACTCCAGATCTGTTGGCCAGAAACCATTAGTAACAACTCACTATAGGAGCGAATAAACCAGGTTTAAACTGAAGAGGAAATTAGGAAAATACATTGGAAGTGGATAAGATATACATTGAAGAAATCATTGAACTGCATCACGAAGCAAGCACTGACTTGTAATCCTTGATGGAGACGGAAAAGAGGAACGCCAAAAGAAAACACAATGAGTCGAGAAATGGAGTCTGACAGAAGAATGAATAGCAAGTGGAAACAACTGGGAAAGATTGTCTAGGACAAAGTTCATTGGAGAATGCTGGAAGGTGGCCTCTGCTTCTCCACGAGGGGTAAAAGGAATAAGTACGTAAGTATGTAAGTAAGTGAGCAAGTAAGTAAGTAAGTAAGTATGTAAGTAAGTAGGTTAGTATGTATGTATGTATGTATGTATGTATGTATGCATATGTCAGTTTTGAAGATAAACTCCTTGGAAAGGATTGTTTAACTGAATAAACTATTTTGCAAATTCGAAAACTTCTGGAATCACCTGACTAAATTCAAATTTGTAACTCATTGATCTAGGAAATAACTTTCTAGATTTCAAAGTATTCAACGATAGCAAGGAACTGTCGTATGGTATATGAATATAATTTTAGAACAAGCTACATTAAGCTCAAAAGTACAACACCGTGTAAGTTCTGTACTAAGTAAATAATGATCATAGTAAATCTATCTAAAATTGATTTACAAATAAGTAGACCCTGTTAGTTTGCTATTGTATAATTCATAATACTGTATATACTATCA